AAAATTTAGTATAAGTTTGTATAGAATTGTAAAAATTCTGTTGGTATAGAGTTGTAAGAATTTTTTATATATACTGGATGTAAGCATAGTTAATACTTTCAGTCAGTGGCTTATCTTTTCATTTTCTTAACAGTATTTTCTTGAAGAGCAGTTTTAAATTTTGATGTTGTCCAAATTGTCAGTTTTTTTCTTCTTTGGTTACTAACATGAGTTTTACATCTGACTGTAGGAAGAGGATTTGACAACTTGACTTCTGTTCATCTTGCCCGGCATACTCCTACAGGAACACTGGTGACTATAAAAATTACAAATCTGGAAAACTGCACTGATGAACGCCTGAAAGCTTTACAGGTAACAAAATGAAAAAAAATGATTTATTTAATGTCTATTTGAGGAGATTACATCTGTAAGAATTTTTTTTACCAAATTAATATTTCTTTCTGTTAGAGGAGGTTAGATTTCTTTCTTCTAATGAATATGCAAGTACAGAATTGGAAGGAATACTTGGAATCCAGATCCACAGAAGAACAAATATATTCAAACTTTGGTAATTACTGTAAATTCCTTCAAACGAATATCATATTCAAAATGCTGGTCTGGAGATTTACAATAATCTTAGTCCAATCACAAATAGTCAAATGAGGAAATAGAAAAAACAAAAGCATACAGTTTCCTTTTCATCCAGGTAAGTAAAATTAACTTCTGAATGAATAAATTTTAACAGAATTGCATTTTAGGAATATTATAATACCATTTTCATTGTCACTAATTTTTTTTCAATTTCAAATTAAAAAAAAATTTTCAAATTTATTTAAATTCAAGTTAGTTAACATACAGTGTAGTACTGGTTTCAGGAGTAGAACCCAGTGATTCATCACTTACATATAACATCCAGTGCTCATCCCAATAAGTGCCCTCCTTAAAGCTCATCACCCATTTGGCCCATCTCCACCTACCTCCCCTTCAGCAACCCTCAGTTCTCTATATTTAAGAGTCTCTTATGGTTTGCCTCCCTCTCTGTTTTTATCTTATTTGTCCTTCCCTTCCCCTATGTTCATTTGTTGTGTTTCTTAAATTCCACATATGAATGAAATCATATATTTGTCTTTTTCTGACTGATTTCTTTCACTTATCATAATTCTCTCCAGTTCCATCCACATTGCTGCAAATGACAAGATTTCATTCTTTTTGACTGCCAAGTAGTATTCCATGGTGTGTGTGTGTACCCAGGCACCTCTGCATATTTGTTGAAATTAAAATTTTTGAAAGAACAAGTGTGTGTGTGTGTGTGTTTATGTATGTATGTTGTGTATATATACATATAAATGTATATATATATACACACACACACCACATCTTCTTTATTCATCAGTCAGACATTTGGGCTCTTTCCATAATTTGGCTATTGTTGAAAGCTCTGCTATAAGCATTGAGGTGCATGTGCCCCTTCAAATCAGCATTTTTGTATCGTTTGGATAAATAGTAGTGCAATTGCTGGGTCATAGGGTAGTTCTATTTTTAGTTTTTTGAGGAGCTGCCATACTGTTTTCCAGAGTGGCACTAATTTCAAGTTTTTATTTAAATTCTAGTTAGTTAACTAGGGCGCCTGGGCAGCTCAGTCGGTTAAGCATCTGACTTCAGCTCAGGTCATGATCTCATGATTTGTGGGTTCGAGCCCTGTTCTGGGCTCTGTGCTGACACCGTGGAGCCTGGAGCCTGCTTCAGATTCTGTCTCTCTTCCTCTCCCCTGCTCATGCTCTTTCTCTCAAAAATAAATAAGCATTAAAGAACATAAATTCTAGTTAACATATGGTGTCATATTGGTTTCAGGTGTAGAATTTAGTGGTTCATCACTTATATATAACAGCCAGTGCTCATCACAAGTGTCCTCCTTAATGCCCATTGCCCATTTAGCCCACCCCTCCCCTCCATCAACCCTCAGTTCTCTATAGTTAAGAGTCTCTATAGTTGAGAGTTTGTCTCCCTCTCTTTTTTTTACCCCTTCCCCTATGTTAATGTGCTTTGTTTCTTTAATTCTACATATGAGTGAAATCATATGGTATTTGTCTTTCACTGACTTATTTCACTTAAAATAATACACTTCATCTCCATCTATGCTGTGTCACTAATCATTTTTGATATAAAGAGGGAAAGCATTTTTTGATATTGTCCTTATTTTTAAAGTATTTACATGTGCACATGTATATTGCACAGAAAAAAAGATTGAAAGAAATTATGCTGAAATGTTAACAGTGGTTCTCTCTGAGATTTAGTGTTAGAAGTGATTATCTTCACAGTTTTATGTATTTTTAAATGTTTCTATTTTAAGAACATAGTATAGATGTTGAGAGTATGACCTCAGAAGTCAGACTGAGATCACGTCTCACTTCTATTTCTTTTGTTGATTATATGCTCTCGGACAAGTTTTCTAACTTATTTCTACGTTTCTTATTTCCTATTTCTCTCTTGTAAAATAGGAATGATCATATGACATACTTAATGTCTTGTTGGTGAGATTTAAAGAAATGGCAGCATCAAGAACAGTGCTTGGTATCAATAAATTCTGCTGAGTGTTAGCTGCCACCTCTACTGTTATTTTCATCACAAGGCAAAAACAAGTTGTTTTAAATGTCTTGTCTCTTGTGTGTTTATCCTAGAAAGCAGTGATTTTGTCCCACTTTTTCCGGCACCCCAATATTACAACCTATTGGACTGTTTTCACTGTTGGCAGCTGGCTTTGGGTTATTTCTCCATTTATGGCCTATGGTAAGAAAACTTGTCTTATATAAAATAACTCAGAGTTTAGTGTGGAAGCCATACTTATGAGTGGGATCTTAGATTTATGATTCACTACTTTTAATTTATAAATCTGGTGGCCAATTCTAGATTTCATGATAAATTTCCATATCTGGTTCATGTTGACCTGATGATCAATGAAACTACTGCTTCTCCAAGAAGTGTGTGCCTTTGAACAAGCTCTCTCTTCCCTTCAGTTCCCTGCCCTTCTGTCAATGGAGAGCCACTATAAGTCTTTAAGCAGAATGTTTTTTCACCTGTGCACACCATCTCTGTCCCTATTTCTCTCATTGTAAACTTACTTTATTATAGTATAAACATCTGTGTGTGTACCTGTCTCCTTTCACTGTACTTCAGCTTCTTGAGGGCAGGATCATGTATGTATTTTTCATTTTGGTGCTCATACAGTTCCTTGCATAAAGTGTTCAATAATTATATTGCACAAATAAACAAATGGATTCTAGAGCTTTTATTTTTATTTTTTATTTTTTAAAATATAATTTATTGTCAAGTTGGCTAACATACAGTGTATACAGTGTGCTCTTGTTTTTGGGGGTAGATTCCTGTGATTCATCGCTCACATAAAACACCTAGTGCTCATCCCAACAAGTGCTGTCCTCAATGCCCATCACCCATTTTCCCCTCTTCCACCCCCCCATCAACCCTCAGTTTGTTCTCCGTATTTAAGAGTTAGAGCTTTGATCTTTAGGATAACTTTGATGAATTGCCTCTGGGTCTAAAAATATATAAATACAGTATTTTTTTAAGTAATACTGAAAATTGTTAATTCTCTTTTCTAATCTCTAGAGTATCATTAGAAAAGTCTTTTTAAAGATTCTTGAAGGAAAACTACCTTTGCATAGGAAAGTAGGTAGACTCTAAAACAGGTGTGTGTGTGTGTGTGTGTGTGTGTGTGTGTGTGTATTTATAGTTGAAAAGAACATTTAAAACATAGCTACAAGCAAAACCAATGTTCAGTTAAAGATTTCAGGTGTTTCTTTCAGGTTCAGCAAGTCAGCTCTTGAAGACTTACTTTCCTGAAGGAATGAGTGAAACTTTAATAAGAAACATTCTCTTTGGAGCAGTGAGAGGGTTGAGCTATCTGCACCAAAATGGCTGCATTCACAGGTATTTATTTATTTGTATTTTAAAGAATGAAATCATTTAAGGAGCTTTTAGGAAGGAGCAGTTGAGTGTTAGGAGAGATAGGAAACTCATAAGTGAAAATTGAGAGAGGAAGGGGCCAGTAGTAGTAAATGCTTATTACATTTTATGGTCATTCACCAAAAATGTTCACACCACATCCTCTTTGCCAAATGCTGTGCTTAGTGTTCTGGTGGAGAGCCTTTCCTGGTGGAGTATAAACTCTATGTAATGGGATCCTTGCTGTCTCTTTTGTTTGTTTTTCTTAAGCATATAAAGAGCTGCTTTATCTGCTTTATAGCTCTATGTCATATTTACAAATTTATGTACAAATTGGAACTAAACCTTTCGTTAATTTCTTAAATATGTTGTAGCACTTTGAGATTATCATGCTAAGTATCAGTTCTCTTGTTTTTAAACTATAGATGCAGAACTAATTGAACATTAAAAACAATGCTGTTTTAAGATATACTGGGACGTTTTTCTTTTTAAATTATTTTTAAAGTTCGTTTCAGTCTCTTTAAAGCTTGTTTTCTTACTATTCATTTTTAGGAACATTCTGGTTAACTGTGAGTTCTAACAGACCGTATTCTAATTAATCAAGGTTTTACTACAGTTAACCAGACTCCCTTAGTTTCCAAATTCAGTATTTTACTGAACAAGGCTCTTTTACAATTTATTTAAAAAAAGAAATTTTTATGTAAGACATATATTTATAAATGATGTTAATACCAGGGGAGGCTGCCTTTTATTGGATAATGCTGCATTTAACTTTATATTCTAACTTTATGCTTCAAATATTACTTGATTTTTTTAGACTTCTCCTTGGGTATTTTACAGCAGTATCCTAAAATAGTGAAATTAGTAATGTGATTCCATTCCAAGTTTGAAAAAAAATATTATCACTTCCAAACATGTAGCTGTCAGTTGTATTTTCCCTTGTTCTAATGCTATATTAAATAGTTGAAAGGATTCCTAATTCCCTGAATATTTTATATGTGTGTATGTATATATGTATATGTGTGTGTATAAGCACACTTACATATAAGCGTGCTGTTTTATAAAGAGTATTTAATTTCCAAGAGAATACATGGATTTGTTCTGACCAGATTTTTATTCTTCATTGGCCAATTTCCTAGTATTTAGGATTGTTTCTTTTTGTTCTAGGAGTATTAAAGCCAGCCATATCCTCATTTCTGGTGATGGCCTAGTGACCCTCTCTGGCCTGTCCCACCTGCATAGTTTGGTTAAGCATGGACAGAGGCATAGGGCTGTGTATGATTTCCCACAGTTCAGCACATCAGTGCAGCCGTGGCTGAGCCCAGAACTACTGAGACAGGTCAGGTGTGGCCTTTGCATTGGGTTGTCTGTGCATCTTGAGTGTCTTCTGAGCTTAACTAAAGGACAATTGTGCCCTTAGATTTGGCTTGGTGAATGGCCTACTGCAAGACTTTTCCTCTTTCTTGTCAAAATTATTGTTAGGGATTTTAAAATGTATATACCATATATTAGGTATATCTTGATTTCTCACCTAATGAGTTTTTTCCATTGTTCAACATCCTTTCTCAAAAAAACACAGATATATAACTTTGTATTTTATTTTCACTAAAGGACTTCAAATTAATTGTTCTACAGGATTTACATGGATATAATGTAAAGTCAGATATTTACAGTGTTGGGATTACAGCATGTGAATTGGCCAGTGGGAAGGTACCTTTCCAGGACATGCATAGGACTCAGGTAAATGCTACTAAAATCCCAAACTAATTTCCCTTCATAAGATCCCTTATATTCTAGATAATTTCTGTTAAAATGTCTTTGCTGTTAGAATCTTTATTATTGTTTTAACATTTTCCCTGAAAAGGGTGAAAGAAACTTTTCTTTCTTTTAGATGTTGTTACAGAAGCTGAAAGGTCCTCCTTACAGCCCATTGGATGTCAGTATCTTCCCTCAATCAGAATCCAGAATGAAGAATTCCCGATCAGGTGTAGACTCTGGGATTGGAGAAAGTGTACTTGTCTCCAGTGGAACTCAAACAGTAAATAGTGACAGATTGCAAACTCCATCCTCAAAAACTTTCTCTCCTGCCTTCTTTAGCTTGGTACAGCTCTGTTTGCAACAAGATCCTGAGAAAAGGTAATATTGGCCACTTCTAAATAGCATCAAACTTACATGTTTTATTTTTTATAGAAGCTTTTCAAGTCTCTTTTCTCAATCTTTTGATCAAAAAACTATAATCTAGAAAATATCAAAACTAAAAGCAAATAGAGGCAATGAGCAAATGGGAATAATACTGAAGTCAGAAGACTTGGGCTCCAATCTCAGCTGTATCATTTCCTAAGTCACCTTGTAAAAATCAATTCATCTTTCTGGACATTAATTACTGTATTTATGTTAATACATTTTAGAAAGCTCCAAGCTGTACAAAAATGTTGTTTCTGTGTAACAATAGTGTAAATTATTACATAACTATACATTAATGTTAGTACTTTAAGATGTGTCTTATCTTTTTTTAGCCCCGTAATGCCTAGCACACTTCCTTATAACTAGTAAGTGCCCCATAAATGTTCTCTCTCAATTCTTTCCATTAGTCAAGGTTAAAGTTAAGAATTGGGCTTCCTGATATTTCTTTTTCTTTTTTTAGTATTGAGTTTTATAGCTCTGAATCTAATTTCTAATACTTTTTTACACCTAAAAATACACAGTCTAATACGACGTTCTATTTTTTTTTATAACATTAAAAAAAATATCAGACCATCTGCAAGCAGTTTATTGTCCCATGTGTTCTTCAAACAGGTAAGCTGATATATCTTCTGTTGTCTAGATATTTTTAGTTACTATTAAAAATTCATTTAATCTTGTTAGCTTAAGGGGACAATTTGGTAACCAAGATTCTTAATAATGACTTTCTTACCAAAGTAAAGTTAAAAATACGAAAACTTTTGTAGTAGTTCAATTATAGGCTTTCTAAAATATTTCCATTTTGCAAAACAAAATGAATAAAAAACAGAATGTCATTAAATGTTACTATCCCCTCAGCTTATATTTTGATTAGAGACAGTTTTTTATACTGGCTAGAAATGATGAAGGGGAAAAATAATTCTGATAAAAATCAGTTTATTTGGTTATTACTTCTTCCTGTTTTCAGATGATCAAAGGCATTATTAGTGAAAATACCTAAAAAATATTTTACACACTTAACATGACTTTTTAAAAAATCATTTATTGCTGACATATGTACCAATAGCTTTGAGTTTCTTTAACAGATGAAAGAAGAAAGCCAGGACTCAATACTTACACTGTTGCCTCCTAAGCCATCAATAGCACTGTCTCCAGTGTCACGTTGGACTGAGCCAGAATGTGATTTTCCTGATGAAAAAGACTCAAACTGGGAATTCTAGGGCTGCCAAATCCTGTATGTCCTAGATACTTGACACTTTCTCTCTGCTACTTTTCTTCTGTATTGCTAGGTACAAATACTAGAATTATACTTGAAAATACCATTGTTGCACTGGAGAATCTATTGTTTAAAACCACTCTGTTCAAAGAAGCATGAGTTTATATCCTCTTTGGTTAACTCACAGTTCTATTACAACTCCAGAAAAACTTCAGAATTATGACTCTAGTTACATTTAGTGTCCTCTGTTCTCATTTTTTTCCCCAAGCTGTGACTAATTCCTCTTCTTGATCTTTGAATTTAAGTTTTGAGCCATTTAATTTTTTCAGCATTTTGTTGCCCTCAGGGGAATGAGCCCTCAGAGGACAGTGCTTCCAAGTAAACTTTTTACTTCCAGATTCTCTAGCCTTTTTGATCAGCTATTGTTAGACCAACAGGCTAGTTTATCCTGGTATCAAAACCCTTTTTTGGTAGAAGGGAAAATGTTTATACTTCCCATATTATTCTGTTAAATATCAAACTGAGCCTCACATTAAATGATAAAGAAGTTGTAATTTGTGCTTTTTTTTTCATTTTTAAGAGGCTAAAGTGACACTTTTCTACTTATGTAAGTTATAGATCCTAAATTCATGCACCCTGTGGGAGCTCAATAAAGATTTATTAAATTGAGTTTATGGTTTTTTCTTTGTGATTTGACAAAGCTAAAACACAGATTCTAATTTGTGTTGCCAAGGGAAGCCCCTAGATTATTTACATAATGTAAAGAATTGGAGACGACCTGGAATTTATTCAATGAGGCAGATGATGTTCTGACCCTTTATAGGACTATTCTTGCTGCGGTAGGGGATACAACATTTAAGGGCATAGAGATCTTAATTAATGGTTTTACCTTATTAGCAAAAAAGAGATGTATCTCAAGGAGTATGTGGTACTCCTTGTGGTAAACTGGGACCTACCTTAGTTAATGGATTTTCTTAAAATAATTTTTACTGTAATGTTAAATAAGATTAAGATGATTGTCTTAAGACTAAAGAATTAAAACAATGAGACAAATAATGTAAAAATGAATAGACAATTTGAAACACAAACCTTTTTAGGTTTATTGGCCAGATCACCTCAAGAATGTTTAGGTTACTCCATCAAGTAAGCCATGAAGACCTGCCAAGGTAGAGGAGGGAAAGGAGATGAGTACCAGTTGAGGCCCTGAGATCACAGGCCCTGGTAGTTGTGGGGGCTATAGGTTATTCCACTAACCTCCTCCTGTTTCCTCCAGGTAAGAGAGGCTCACAGGAACTATAGAGGAGGTTCTGAATCTGGGTGGAGAGTTGATGTTAGTGCAAGAGATGGAATCTGGAAGCCCTGAAGCAGTGCCTCTCAGATCTCCTGTGAGTGTATCAGAGTTCTCCAAGAAACAAAAATAGGATATTTATTATAAGGAATTGGTTACACTATCATGGAGACTAACAAGTCCCAAGATCTGCAAGATGAATGGGCAACCTAGAGACCCAGAAAAATTAATGATGCAGTTCCAGTTCAAAGACTGGTTGGCTGAAGACCCAGGAAGAGCTGATGTTTCAGAGTCCACAGGCAGGAAAAAGCTGATGCCCTGTTTGAAGGCAGTTAGGCAGAAGGAATGATCTCTTATTCAGGGTAGGGTCGGCCTAGTCAACCTTTTTGTTCTGTTCAGGTCTTCAACTGATGAGGCCCACCCACATCAAGAGGGCAATCTTCTTTATTCAGTCTACAGATTTATGTGCCAATTTCATCAAAAAAACTCCCTCACAGAAATACCCAGAGTAGTGTTTGACCAAATAAATGGGCACCCTGTGGCCCAGTCAAATTGACAGATAAAATTAGTCATCATAATAGATATTGATAGCATCACCCTGAGATCACGTGCCTTAAATTTTGCACCATAGACTCCTTGCTGTATTAATTTTCTATCTCTGATATAACAAATTACCACAAACTGAGTGGCATAAAATATTATAAACTTATTATCTTACAGTTCTAGAAGTCAGAAATGTCAAATGGGTTGACAGGGCTACATTCCTTTTAGGGGCCATAGGGAGAAATCTGCTTTTTCCAACTTCTAGCAACTACCTACCTGCCTGCCTTTGCCTCACGAACCAGCATTATTATTTGGCTTCTGTTCAGTGATCACCTGACCCTTCTGCCTGTCTCTTTTGAGGGCTCTTGTGATTCTATTGGGCCTACTCAGAAAATCCAAGATAATCTCACCCCATCTCAAGATTCTTAATCACAGCTTCAAAGTCCCTTTTGCCATGTAAGGTAAAATACAGGTTCCTGAGATTAAGATGTTGATATGTTTGGGATGGGGACAGGGGAGTCATCATTCTACCTTGGTGTCTAATGTCTTACATGTCTAATCTCATCTTGGTGTCTGCTTTCTGAAGAACTAAACTAGTACAGTCACCTTAGTTAAAATGCCCTCCTATGATCTTCTATAGTACTTTCCCCAAACAGCACTTACACAACTCTGTATTTGTATATTTATGTCCCCAGTAGACTGTGAACTCCTTGAGAATATGGTCTTATTCACTAGTATATTCCTAGGGTTTAGCCAAGTATTTGGCATATTGTAGACATTTAATATTTAAGGAATTCTTCCTTGAATAAAGGATAAGAGGGTTTTTTGTTTTTAAAAAAGACTTGAAAAAATTTGAGAGATGTCTATAATTTTGATTTCTATGGAAATTTTTGACTCTTGGTATGTTACAGTATTGCCATTATAAGTTCAATGAGGTAAAGGGATTTCAGTTTCATTTAGTAAATAGTTCCTTTATTACAAGCCAGGTCAGTACTATTGGTCAATTGTCAGCTCTCAAATCCATTTATTCGCTCTTCCCCTGCTATGCTTCATTGGGAATAATATTTCCTCACACTCGTACTCTCTGGTTTCCAAGGAGGCAGGAGTGGCAGATCAGAGCATAAGAGGAGACAGAAGAAATGTGGTATTTCTCACCTTTTGTCCCACTTCTCTGTTTCTTGTGGTGTCTCTGGTAGCAGGTGTATCTTCTTTGTCTTTTGGCTTTAGGACTCTGGTAACACCACTTCTTGCTGTCAATTCCATCTGATGGTATCATTTCCTGCTCTTGCTAATCTTTGGATTGCTTCACCATCTCTTTTGGTTTCTTAGCCTTGGTTCCATCACCCATGAAACCAGTTCCCTGTGTTCCTTCTACTTGAAAGATCCAGAGTTACTTTCCCAGTTGCATGCTGATTGATACACATACTAACAGCCTTGAGGATAACTAGAAATTCTTGGTCTCACCCCCCCCCCCCCCCCCCCGCCCAAAATTACTAAGTTGATTATGCCATTAAATGAGTGATCAAGAATCTATTTTCTATTAGCCAATTCTATTTAAGCCCCATAGCCTTTATGATTTATGTTAGAAAAAATTGAAACTGACAAAAATTCTATAAATTGAAGTTTTTCTCAAGAGTGAACCAAAGTTTGACAAGATCCAAATATTGTATTGGAGCCTGAGAAGATGGTTGAGTACGAAGAGCCTAAATTCAGCTTGTCCCATAGATACATATGGATAATAGCCACATCAGTATAACCCAGAAAACAACCCAAAGACTGGTAGAACAAGCTTTCCACAGTTAATTGCCACAAGAGGAGGCCACAAGGAAAAATGTAGGAGGGGCAGAGATGGGGTCATTACCCAAACTCTTGGTGAGAGTAACCACAAAAGAAAGGGACTCCACAAGCACAGAGAAAGGAGAGGACCAACCACACAGCAGGCCCCCCAGACAGTGATGAATCACCTCAACATCTGACTTTAAAAACCAATGGGGCTTAACTTCATAAGTTTTTACAATCAGCAGGGCTTACCTCCTGGTACTTTGGAGATCTTAGGGCTTAGCTCTAGGAGAGCCAGGGAGCAATAGGGACACCTTAGCAAAAAGCCCTGCTGAGAAACAGCATAGAAGTAGCAGTTTGAAAAGTACCTGGGTACACAGCAAAAAGATTTACTAATTTCAGAACATGTGCTGAAGGGTAAGGGATCTTTAGGAGAGTTGTTCAAGAACAAAAGAGCTGACAGGAGCCATTTCTCTACTGCCCCCCAGCTTAGATCACTGGACACTTGCAGGAAACAGCATGACCAATCTCCACCTAGCTTGCTAAGACACCACACTCTACCTGTGCTTTCTCCTGTGGCTCCACCCCATCCAATCTGTCCCACTTACCAAGAGTCCCTTCAAAGTGGCTCCTGTGATTTCACATCCTGCAAGCAGCCCCCACAGTGACCAGTGCCACTCCAAAGTAATGACAGAGAATTTTTAAAGCAGCAAGAGAAAAGAAAACAGCTACATACAAGGGAAACTTCATAAGGGTATCTACTGATATATCAGCAGAAACTTTGAATATATAATATGCCACTCCTGGTCTGCAAAGTGCTGAAAGGAAAAAAACCTGCAACCAAAAATACTCTACCCAGCAAGATTATCACTCAGAATAGGAGAGATCAGGAATTTCCCAAAGGAATTATCATCACTAAACCAGCCTTGTAAGAAATGTTAAAGGGAATTAATCTTTCAGTGGAAAGAAAAACTATAAACAGGAGTAAGAAAATTAGAAAAGGAAAAAAATTCCACAGGCACATACAAACATAATAAAGGTAGATAAATCACTTATAAGACCAGTAGAGAGGACTTTTGGCAAAGATGGCAGAGTAGAAGGGCTCTAAACTCACCTGTGCTGTGTATATAACCAGATAACACATCAGTGTAACCCAGAAAATGACTCAAAGACTGGAAGAATAAACTCCAGAACTAAATGTAGAGAAGAGGCCACACTGAAGAAGGTAGAAAGGGTAGAGACATGGAGGGGAGCTAAACCCTGCAGGTCTGGCTGCCAGAAGGAGAGACAGGTGCAGACAAGGGCACAAAACAAACTATCAAATCAGGGAGGCTGCACAGCAAAGACAAATCACCGTAGAATTTGGCTTTGAAGACTAGAGGGCCAAATTTTGTGAATTCTTACAACCAGCAAGACTTAAAACCTGCAACTTTAAGAATCAGCAAACTTGGCAGAGGCAGTTAAGATGGCAGAGTAGTAAGGGGACCCTGAGTTTGTCTCATTCCTGAAACACAGCTATATCAGCATCAAAGCATTTTGAACACACAGGTAATTGACCTGAGGATTAATGCAACAACCTGTATAATTTGAGAGATCTTGGCAGATGAAGCAATTACCCCTAGAGAAAGAACAGGAAGAAATGGCCAGGGATTTAATCAACAAAGATGTAAGATGTATAAACTAGAATTGAAAACCACAATTATAAGAATACCAGCTGGGGTTGAAAAAAAGCATAGAAGACACCAGAGAATCCTTTTCTGCAGAGATTAAATGAACTAAAATCTAGTCAGGCCAAAATGTAAAATGCTGTAACTGAGATACAGTCTCAAATGGATTCCATGATGGCTTGGATAGACAAAGCAGACCAGCAAATCAGTGATATAGAAGATAAAATTATGGAAAATAATGAAGCTGAAAAAAAGAGGGGATACAATGGCAAA